TGTGTGTGTGTATATATATATATATATGATGTATATTATTGAAGGAAAAAAGTGGTATATTCCAATATATTATTAAAATTGTCTTTTATATGACAGCCTCAGAAGATCTAAGCATAGAAATATTTAATTCAGTGCTTTTTACTATGACCTGAAAATCATTTAGCTGTAAATTGAGGAATTATGGGTAATGTAGTTTGACCTCATTAAAATACTAGATAGTGGAAAAAATGTTCCAGAAAATGTCCCACAAGACCAGTTCCAAGTTGCCAGTTAGTTAACTAATAATTAAATGTCAGGTTATTTAACATGTGAGTTTGAGTTTTTCCCAGTAGATGGCTGTATAACACAAGTCGCAGCATACACATAGAAAATCTGAGATGCATTTCAAATCCATTAATACATTTTGCCGCAAACTGAAATGATCTTCATCCTCAGGATTGTAAATGGAATCGATATGAGGCCGTATGGGTTGAATGATAAGGCTGCTCGTTCCCAGCTGCATAATTGCAGCAGTAAATCTGCAGCATTGGACCGTATGTCTGTAGCCTGCTTTGCAATGTGCAGGAGTAGATTCGATTTTTTCTTCCCAGGCCTGAGCTGCAGTCTGACCCAGATTCCGCAGACATAAGATATGAATGCAAAGAGGTGCCGGTGCCAAAGCCGCTCTGGATCTGCGGCAGCTCAGCTGGTGATTTTATGGTGACACCCTCCTCCCCTGCTCACAGTGTACCGGATGACCCACGAGCTCACCTATGCCGAGATGAGGAAGGGCTCTGACGAATGGAAAACTGTACTGGGTGGAGTCTTCTTCTTCCTGGGCTTCACGGGGCTGCTGGTGTGGTGGCAGCGTGTCTACGGTTGGTACAGGCTCCCTCCCCTAACCCCCCCCCCTCTGCCACCCAAAACCCACCCCGCCTTCTGTGCTTGGTCGCATATGCCCAGATCACCCATCGATATAGACGGACATTAATATCATTTGCATGCCCCCCTAAAGGCTCCACCCCCAGACCCTCCCAAAGGTCCCTCCCTGCAAGCCGCCTTCATCCTCCTCTCTACTCCTTTCATGCAAGCAGACACTCCTGATAATGGTGCTGTGCTGTGTGTCTTTGCCATTGGGATGCTCACAGCCATGTCTCGTCTCTGATGATGACGCCTCTCTTGCGTTCGCTGAAACAATTCCTACGTTTGCCGGTAGAGATAAAAGGATTAGCTGCCGGGGGTTTCATCTCCCTCGACTGCCCCGGCATCCACGTCTGACACTGCACAGCCTCTGATTCCTCTCTGCTGCAATGCAGCAAGACCCCACTGAGGGGAGGAGGCGGGGCACGGAGGGGGCAGTGGGGCGAGACGGGGGCCAGACAGGCTAAAATATCTGTTCTATCATTCTGACCCAGTGCCTCTTATTGCGGGAGAGCAGAGAGCAAGTGGCCAGGGGAGAGGGGAGGTGAGGCGTGCAATGGCAGGATCTCCTGGGGAGACGGACTGCTGTCCAGATTGTCGTAGAAGGCCCTGCCTACCATCGCTGAGCACATAGAGTCAGCTTCTTCCACAAGAATCCAGTACTTGGGGACTGGGGGAGGGGCAGGTGGTTAAATGCTGCTAACTGTTGTTAATTAATGTTAAGTCGATCTCTAAATTCAGTATTACTTTCTATGCCTGTTTGATGCTACACAGTGTGGTTTCAGAAAAGCGGGAACATTTCAGACATAAACATGGTTCTCCTTTATTTAGACTTGCCTTTAGGTGCGATGCTTCCCTGGATCAATGTCTAACTGGGAAGGAGAGAGAAGCACTGGCCCAGACAGAGAAGCTCGCAAAGCCGACACAGAGCATGCAAACGCTTGGGGGGGTGTATCTTATAAAAATGACCAGCCTTCTCTGGGGAGTGTGAAAGTCAGGAAAACGTGTCGGAAATGTTCACAGAAATATAAGCATCAGAAAATATCCGCAGGATGTCTGAGAGAAAGATAAACATTTAGGAGTACGCTGGCGTGCCGTTCGTCAGCTGGCGCCCCGGTAACCCAGCTAGGCGGAACCGGCTTTCAAAACGGCAAACCTGACAGGCCTAATCGGGAAAGCTCTGCACGGTTCCCCCGAGTGAGGCTCCGGTTCTCCAATGGGGTGAGCAGGTGCCGTCCATCAAGCCGCCCGCCACGTTTGCACACCCAACGGATAAGGAGAGAGCAGGAGCTGCCGCCGGCCTCGCTCAGGTCGCGGCTCGTTCCTTTCCCCTTTCGTCTGACTTGCTGGCAGTTCGGATAACAGAAGTTGGTTTTGGAGGCGGGTGTGTGGGGAGGATTGCACAACGAGGCATCTGTAGAGGATGTTGATTGACCGTTAACTGTCACTACACATGCGGTGGCTGCGGACGCCCCGTGCTTTGAAAGGCGCGCACTTCAAACGTCGAGTGCTTTCCTTTCACCTGTTCGTAAAACCCAAGGTCCATTTCAGTCCCCACAATGCACTGCGAGGTAGCCGTTTCTGTGGTCATTTTTTTTTTGTTCATTTTATCGGGCTTTCCCAGCTTGCACTGAGTGTCTCAAATGCAAAAATAAACATGGGCAAACGGAGGCGAAGAGGGTCGTGTGGCAGATCTGCATCGGGGGCTCTGCCCCCGCGGTTGCTTTTCTGAGGTATCCAGTCGTCTTGTGTTTTGCAGCAACACCTAGCTGCTGTTTTGGGACCCTAAACGGTTGTCCTTGTTTGCCCTCATGTGCTCACACTCAGATCACAGTAACAGTGATAAAGTCACAGAGGTTTACCAACACTTCACTCGGATTATAGTTACTGGGGACTTCCTGTGTTGCAATGAGTTAGGTTTCATAAAACGAGAGTAGCATTGTGACTTTGTTAAACTGCACCAGAATAATGGAACCCACCCCCCTACCCCCCCCCCCATCTCACAGTCATGGGAGACGTGCCGCACACGCTGTCAGACGAGTGGGTGGAGAAGCAGACCAAACGGATGCTGGACATGAGAATCAACCCGGTGCAGGGCTTTGCCACCCATTGGGACTACGAGAGGAAGCAGTGGAAGTAGAGGACCAGAAGAAGAGAGGAGCAACCTTAAACGATTACTGTGGCCCATCAGTCAGCAAGGTGCTGCAGCCTTTACATGCGTCTCCTGTTATAAAAATCAAGGACTTAAAATAAAATAAAATTCATAGCACCAAATATAATGTAACTGAGTAACTTTGCCTGTTTTAAGTAAGTAGTCTTATGGCTTATTTCCCCAGCGCCAGGTACTGCACTTTTGACACGATACTTTCAGTACTGATTTTCAGTCAAGCACCAGTACCAAAAGTTCCAGTACCTACAGTGCCAAACTGACTGTGGTACTTTTTCGATACGCCAGTACTTTGGGGTGGGACTTATAAAGCATAAAAGCAATCCAACATAAATTTCTTATAAACCTGTCTAGGAGTGATTCGAACAGCAAGAATAAAAATTATTATGATTGTGTTGGAGAATGCATTCCCATACAAAAGCAGCTGAGGTACACTTTAAACTGATTTTTAAACATACTAAATAATCATAAAAAGGAATAATCATTAAAATTGCAAAACTTGCTAAGTTTTTTTCCTAGGACAGAATTAAAATATTTTAGCGAAACTTTAGCCCCCTGCGCTATAATGTCTGTGCAGTATGAAGGTAAGAAAAAGCTGATTTAAATCTAGCTGACTAGCAATGTAAAAATTGCATGTACATAACACGTGATGCTGGTATTAATATCGCACATCATCCAGCCCTATAATATACTGTAGTCATTTTTCAAATTCAGTACAAAATACCCAGCTTCATGTTGTGATGTCATTCAATGCCGGTACCAGTTTTTACAACAATGGAAAACCATCACCTTGAAGTACCAAAACTGTGATAACCTGGTGAGGTGGAAAAGCACCATTACATATATAATGACCAGTATATCACCAACATATCTCCTTCCAGGTGGAACCTAAGAGTCCAAGGATGGATCTGGTTGAGTTATTGAGTACCAGAGTAGGACACGTACCTGTAACATCTCTGTGCAGAGGTAGAGCTCTAGATCCAGGGGATAGACATGAGGTGTTTACCATTTATGTCTGAGCCTGTATCAGAGGAAGAATCTGATGTTGAGGGACAGTCAGTTGCTTGGAGGTTGCAGTTGAACTCGTCTGAGTGGTAAGTTTTGTCGTTTAATGTTTCCAGGAACAATTTGCTGCACATAACTGTAATAGTCCCACTGCAGCCTAGGCACAACATTAGCATAATCGTAACTGTATTTTCAGCATTGTATACACATTATTCTTTATCTCACACAAGGTTTTATGATGCCAGCTTCGTCATGCAAGTTTTATCAAGAACTCCAAATAGCAAGATGGGTAGATTGTAAATGTGTTGTTTGTAATGAATTTAGTTACACTTTCTTTTTTTTTTACTGCAGAATTGATTAGATATTTGTATAGCTAACTAAAAGTAGGAAGTGCAGAAGCATCTTGTCCGTGTCAGTATCCCAGACTGGGATTTATTTTCCCAAAAGCAGAGTTACAAGCAATGCTAGCAACTTGCATAGTTAGAACCCATCAACTGAGCGGATCCAACTATTTAAGTAGCTAAGGGGTGCTTTAGGGAAACGTACCTCTGACTTACCTGCTAAAGATGAACATCAGCCATGCCTGTTAACAATTTGGTTATGAAAAGTGTTGACATCCCCATCGCAGCCTCGAACGGCACACTCATTATGCATATAGTCTGCCATTTTCACTGTTGTCCATCGCTTTGTTCTTCTCTACATGTGCAAAACTGTTGAAGTACGAATGCGCATGTCCGTTGAGCTGGAAAGGAAGCTGGCATATGTTAAGTTTGGGAGCATGGTTCAGACTTACATAACAGTCTAGGAATTTCTAAACAGCCTGTTTCACTTCCTTTTTACATATTTAGGAATTATATTTGAAAGAGGGAACAGCAGTGTTTGAGATTCACTGTATATAACTTCCATATACCGAACTCTCCTTTTTCAACTATGCCGAGGTAAAGTCAGATTTTTATTCTATTGCACCTTTAACAGTTCAGTAGTAAGCTTCTTTTTCTTATGT